GACTTTGAATAAATGTGTAAGAAAATTACACCTTTTTGAACACTGAAACAGCCAGATAGTTGAACAATATATTACTAGCATGCAGAGATAACTCTCTGACCTCTACTATAAGTTATTTTATTATCAATATTGATGTTTTACTTTAAAAAAGCAAATTAGACTTATAATATGTGCAAAACAATTGCAATTGCAATTACATTTTTTATTTATTTATTTTTACTGATCTGTCAAAAATCACATCATACAATCACATCACAGTTTTGATGCACATGCAGGTAATGATTTGATAAATGTTTGTCCATCATAGTTAAAACAGTTTATTGTTAAAACAATAAACATACAGTTAATACATTTATCCCAGCCTATAGCATTGTTTTGCATGATAGAACATGTCACATGTCACTGCAAAAATCATTATTTAAAAGCCATTAATGGCACAGTATGTCATTTGCACTACTAGAGGGTGCATATTTACAACAAGCAAAGGTAGTTTGATGGTACCGTGACTGAGTGTTAAATCATGTACATGGATGCGCTAAATTATTCTAAATGTATTTTCAGGTGACATTAAGCAGAGCAAGGCTCAACGCTGTCAAAGCGAAATGAGACTATTGGAGCAAGACAGATGTGACGTGGTACAATATAAGCAGAGCTTTTATTTTGCCAAAGTTCATTGCTTATAATTCTTCAGCTTCTATAATAAATTTTAGATAAAAGTTTTAGATTTTTTTTACTTTTTTAAACATTTAGGGTAATGTAAGTACACACACTTATGTACATATGTTAACAACACATTTAAAACAAACAAACAAACAAAAATAATAATAATAATAATAATAATAATAAATAATGATAATAATGATAATAATAATAATAATAATAATAATAAATAATAATAATAATAATAATAGTAGTAAAAGGGTGCAGCACTATGGCACAGTGGGTGGCACAATCACCTCACAGCAAGAAGGTCACTGGTTTGAGCCCCTGCTGGGTTAGTTGGTGTTTCTGTGTGGAGTTTGAATGTTCTCCCCGTTTTTGGATGGGTTTCCTCCGGTTGCTTCGGTTTCACCCACAAGTCCACAAAAATGTGGTACAGGTGAATTAGGTAAGCTAAATTGTCCGAAGTCTATGTGTGTGAATGAGTGTGCGTGGATGTTTCCTAGTGATTGTTTGCAGCTGGAAGGGCATCCGCTGTGTAAAACGTGCTGGATAAGTTGGCGGTCCATGTTGCTGTGGTGCTCCTTGATTAGTAATGGGACTAAGCTGAAAAGAAAATGAATGAATGATTGAATAATAATAGAGAATTCATTGTGCTAACACAGCTAACACCTAGCAGGATGGGACAAAGTTCCTAATTTTGTGACTGCAGGTGGTCACAGTATACGAGACTAGCATTTAAATTAACTTTAAAATGTTGCAGATTAAAAGCAAATGGAACCAAAAATTAACCAACATCTGCTGGACTAAGAATGTCCTTTAAAGTGATCATTGATATCAGAAAGCATGCCATGTGATGTGTTTAGAAATTATGCAGTCAATGTGGTCTAATTCATTAAATTCTTCTTCCCATGTCAAACTCTTTCAAATGTGATCAAACATCTGTCAGAAAGCATATCAGTATGTGTACTTTTTCAGATATTCCTCAAACCAGTCTCATGCAGTTCTACAGATGCACCAGTGAAAGTGCAATCACATCAGTCATACTCTGGTTATGGTAGTTATTACTCAAAGAAACAGCTTTATCTTGTGTCATGATATACCACTCACTGCACTGGCTGAGCTTTCAGAACAGTGTGCAGAACAGTGACACAGACCATTTAGATTACTGAATGTTTCTTCTGTCTGGCAAGCAAACCAAAATGAGATTGACAGACACAACAGTATGTAAAGTAAAATTCACAACAGGGATGGATGGAATTTATTATTATTATTAATTAATTTATTTATTTTATTAAAGTGTCTGATCAAATGAATATTATCTTGTTGTTGCTATATGGCTGCTTACAACCAATCTTTGGATGATATTTGGATTTACATCACATTTAATATTTTATAATGTATATTAAAAAGTGCATTAATAAAATTGCTTTCATATAGTAATTGCAAAGTAAATTGGAGATGCTTTTTAATCTTTCCATTTCCTATTCTTCTTCTTCTTCGTCTTATTATGTTAATTATTATCATTATTGTTATGTGTAATTAAAAATAAAATAAAATTGACATCACATAAGTAATGAAGTGATAATTTCGCTGTTTATGTTTTCTGTCTGCGTCTCAACCACCTCAATAATATTCACTTTTTGTTTTTGTTAGAAAGAGTTTAACTTGGGTACTGCAAGCAAACCAGTTTAAATAAATGGTGTAAATGCATTTCTTACTGAACTTTCAAATTGTACCATACAGTATATACAGTACCTTTTTATGGAACAGAATTGTACCTTAAGACAGACACAAATTTGTAGCATTGCACTTTGCACTTTTAAGGACATGATTTGTACCATGGGAAACCAAAATGTACCTTTGGTTTTTAAAACCTGCAGATACAATATTGTACCTATTGTACAAATCTGACCCATTAAGATACCACTACACTGACAAGAGACTTTGTACAATAACAGTGTCAAATGTGTTCTTTCAAGAACTATTTAAAGGCATTTTGTTATATCCAAAATGTGTCAATTTATTTTTACTAAATATAAAACATCAAATACATTTTTAAACAATGTTTAAAAAAAAAGTTTAATTTTGTGTAAATTCACATTTTCAATTTACAATAAATAAAATATACCTTAACATAATTCAAAAGATCTATTTTTTGCTAAACGTTTCACAACACTTTTCACAAAAATGTTACAGAAATACTTTCTCCCTTGTACAATATAAAACCTTTTTTGTTTCTCAAAATTTTACTTATAATTTTAAAATAGAAATATAATTATGCAAAAGTATTGTAACAAGATATGCACAATGTTTGATTAGCTTCACAATATAAAATGTCTGCCTAAACACTTTGCATATGCAAGACTTTTGCCAGCTTATGTGCGTAGTGGAAAGCATTCTAATTAAAAATTGCCTTAAATGTTTAGTTTAAAATACCTGTAGCTTTTTTTATCAGTTGTTTTGTATTACAGAACTTAATAATTAATGTTTATGAGTTTCTTTAAGCATATGCTTTTAATCGATGATTTATGTTTTAATATGGAAATTATTTTTTAAAAATCACTTTGTCTTTCCAGTAATATTTGTTTCCATAGAAATTGTAATAAAGAAGGAGTCTTCCAACACATATGTACCTTTTTTTTATGTGAACAAATGTTTACCTTCATTTTGTACCATAAAAGGTACAAAACAGTATCATAAGAGGTCTTTTCTGTACCATGTAAGGTACAACTTTTACAAAGGCACAAAACAGTTCCTTAAGGAACATTATTTGTATCACATGCACCTTTTTTCTGATAGTGTATATGTATTGCCCCACTACAGACCTTTACAATTTAAAGGAAACATTGTTTAATTAATTCTGGACCAGTTAAAGGTCCACAGAGTTTATGGGAGCTTTTTACAGTGAATTTCTTACAACTGTGGTACCATTTATTTATTTATGAAATTAATTACACAATATTAAAAACTGCATTTGCTGTTTCTTTGGCATCAGTTTAAAATGTATTTTGTTATTACAACAAAGCAAACTTCCACACACTGACAGAGTGAAATAAAGAGAACTGTAAACAAGAAACAAAATTCCAATAATGCATCTGCTCAATAAATTTTATCTGACTTGATAAAAATGCGAGAGCAAAGGGGACTTAATGGACGAGTGGGAAAACGTGACTTGCACTTATTTTGGGGGGTCTTTTTTAAATTACAGTCATTTAGATGTAATTGCCAGGTGCTACGCTTCACCTGCTTTTGGGGGGATGTGTGTTAAACAGCTGTCACACATTAGCTCAAAAACTATGCGGCATTAGAAAGCACTTAGACAGCTGGAGGACGTTGGCAGAGCTCAAAGCTTTCTCCATTCATGCACACAGACTGTACTGAAAACTATCAGCCACACACTTTTCTTGAGTTTGAAAGTGAGCAATTGCATTGCTTTCATTACACAAAAACAACAATAAATGTGTTATCATCAAATTCTAAACAAATAACTAAGCAGTTTCTGCGGAAATGACAAAGATGCAAAGTTGCATCTGCTCATGTCATTAAGTGTGCTGCATGAGATCAGTGACATTACATCAAAAAAATTTGCACACTGATAGCTTTATTTATTAGCATGTGCCGTCTATGTTGGTTACTCTGCTTCACTTAATGAATTATGCAAATGAGGCAATGCCACAAAACATAAACAGTATTTAATTCTGTGATTTGCATGGAGATTTTCCCTTAGATATTGGATGCTAGTATGGTATGCAGTTATAATGCACTTCATTTTATCATAATAACATAAACAACCACAAATATTTGCAAATGTACACAACCCCCGTTTAACTGAATCAATAGTTAATTAGCTAATAAATAGTTAATAGTGCTAACAATGTCCAAAAACACAGACTTTTGCATATTACAATGACTCATTTGTCCAAAAATATTGTTTTGGTGAGAATTTGAGTCAGTACTCTGTTAGTTAGTTAGTTAGTTAGTTAGTTAGTTAGTTAGTTAGTTAGTTAGTTAGTTAGTTAGCTAGTTAGTTAGTTATTCAACTTTTCTATTCAAGTGACATGTATTTTTATATTAATTATATTGTAATCTTTGAATTGAAAAGATGTTTGCATACATGGTTACAGGAGTCCTTGATTGATAGAAAGTTAAGAAGAACATAATTAGATTTAAATGGACACATTTTATGACATTTTGTGAAGATATACCTTTACTGTCTCTTTTGTCAAGTAAAGTCAATATATCTTTATTGTATTAAAGTTTTACCTTATGTTTGAAAAGTGATTGTTTTGATATTCAGCACACCACAATAATTTGCATATCTGTTTATGTGTCTGCAGAGTTTTTTTGATGGCTGGGACATAAATGACAAGAAGGACAAGACCAAGGGACGACATGACACCCTTTTAGGACGTAAGTGTAAATAACATATATAAATAATAAATAAATAATAAGTAAATAATAAGTTTATACTCTGAGAAGATTGTACGTTATAGACAGCATATACATTTTTTTATGAAAATAATGGATGTATAATGTAATGCATAAGCAAATATTGGGTACATCTGCAAATTTTAGTTTAAAAATACAGCATTTTGTAGATGTCATGGCAAATATGTTGCTAAGATAAGTGGTTCAAATGCTTCCTTTCTTTCAATGCTTCAGCCTATGTTTTTTGTGAAACAGCACTAACGCACCTAAACCTTAAATTGGCTACAATTTCTAGGTCAAATAAATTTCTTTAGACGCTATGATGCCAACAAATTGTGCTCCTTTTTACACTAATCAGATTTACAGGAATATATTATCAATGAGTGAAGAATTATTTTTGTGAAAGTACTTTGCACAGCAACAAACAAAATACCACAAAACAACTTAATGATGTTTATTAGCTGTAATACATTGTAGCTGTAATACATGTAATACATTTGCCTCACCTATCTGTCCTTACTAACAAGTTTTCTGCTTGTTAGTTTGCTCAGTTGCTCACTCGGTATGGTATTGCTCTTGTTACAGTATGCAGTGTACTCAGTTTTGAGTGCAGTAAAATAGCAAAATACCATAAGGCAATAAAAACTATATATAAAAAAAAAAGGTAAAACTGCATGGTCACAATGTTTTTTTTTATGTTTGTTTATGAAAACATTGTTGGTTGGGTTTAGAGAAGAGTTTAGCCAGTGGTTTGCCGGTCTAGGTGTTCTCCACAGCATGCCCCTTCTTCTCATCTTGTGTAGAGAGGGACATGTTTCTGAAACATTCAACGAAATGTATTTCACTCACGTATCTCAAAATAAAATGCAGACAGCACCCTCTAAAGCCTGATTTATAGTTGAGTTTGTGGAGGTTCGCTTTGGGAGCACACGGCATGATTTTGGCTGGCTGAGTACATGAACTTTTTTGAGACATGAGCAACTGACGCCCCATTTCATTTGAGTTGAATGTGAATCACTTTGAAGAGATTTTGTCTGAAACAGGCAGGCCTGTACAGACATCTTTATGATCTGTCCATGCATGGTCATAGCGATAACCAGATGAACAATAATTCTTAGCTATAAATTGCAACAGGAGTGGGAAAGGAGAAAAATTTTTGTTAAAAAGTAAAAAAAAAAAAAAACTTGAGGGACCAAAAAGAGAGGTCATGGTTAAAGTGGTTTTAATAAACAATTAAAGAATATGTTTTTTCCACCATGCATAGGTTTTACACTGTTGTATATATATTACAATTTTTAATTTAAAACAATTTAATAGTTACAAAACTAAAATGAAGTAATAAAATTATTTCTTTGATAACAGAAAAATAATATTTAAATCAGTTTACACTATATTGATGCCCTATTTTTTTCTAGGCTTCATTTGTGATAATTGTCAAGAATGTTGGGCCATTTTCACCTTGGCATTTAAGGAAAGGACACAAACTAGCCAGACAGTAATGTGTGAATTGTGGAGTGAATTTTTTTTGTAAGTTTTAAATTACATTTTTAAAGTTAAATTAGTTTTTGGTCTTTTACTCTTGCCATAATAAAAATATATATTTGTAGAGCAACCCATGTTCTGTTGCCATTGATATTTAACCTTAATAGGTAAAACTGTTTGAGATATGAACAAAAGCAAGTGATGCATCAAACTTTAATTTAAACGATATGGATTGGTTTTAAAAATCTTTATAATCATTAAAATAAATTATAAAAATAATTAGTTTAAAAATTTTGAACGAGGTGGCGACACAGTAGGTTGCTGGTTCGAGCCTTGGCTGGGTCAGTTGGCATATCTGTGTGGAGTTTGCATGTTCTCCTTGTGTTCGCGTGGGTTTCCTCTGGGTGCTCCAGTTTCCTCCACAAGTCCAAAGACATGTAGTACAGGTAAATTGGGTGAGCTAAATTTGTGCATAGTGAATGAGTGTGAATGAGCATGTATAGATGTTTCCCAGAGATGGGTTGCAGCTGGAAGGGCATCTGCTGCATAAAATATATGCTGAATAAGTTGCCCGTTCATTCCACTGTGGCGACCCCAGATTAATAAAGGGACTAAACTGAAAAGAAAATGAAAGAATCTTAAATATTAACGAGCCCATTTTATACATGAAATAGGGTCATATCTTGGTTGCAAGGGTCTCCAACAACAGTCTAATATGCATGCAAGGTCAAAAAACACTTTCATGGTCTTATAATCTGCATTTATATTTACCTAATTATCCCAGCGACTCCTGTATGAATCGTCCAGTGATTCATTTGTTCCCAAACCCCTCCTTAGTGCGAAGCTAATCTGCGCTGATTGGACTGATGACAGTCTGTTGCGATTGGTCGACTGCCTTCAGTGAAAGAGTGAAATGCCCAACAGCTAATCAGGAATATAAAAGTAATCGCAGTTCATACACGTTCGATAGTGTAGGCGTGGGTTTCAGCTGCCAGTGGGTCAATGTAAATACAGACTATGGACTTGAAAATACAGGCGACTAACTATTTTATTAAGCAAAAACTCCAAAAACAGTTGAGGAGATCTTGTAGCTTGTCTCACTCTGCTCTTTTCACAGACACACACACATATTGCACACACACATACACGCACACACACACACACATACACACACACACACACACACACACACACTTAACCCTGCTCCGGACGACAACGCGTGCGCACACGCACACACAAACACACACACCTCCGGACGACAGCGCGCGCACACGCACACACACACGCACACACAGACACACACACACTACTCCTCCTCCACGGAGCTCCGTAAACAAAGCAGCACATGTCGCGTTTTAAACGTGGCTTTGCACCCGATATGAGAATAAAGCGAGTTACCTGATACAGTACATGCGGTTACAAGTGACAAATCACTACTAAATACATTTGCAAGCTAGAGTAAACGAGGCAACTTTAATCGCACGTACTTACACTTGAGAAATGGAGGAAGAAACCCATCCTGACATCCATCAGTAAGTTACTCTTTACTGATCCTTCCTTTAACAAACGCCGATGAAGTATTCTTTGTAGCATGTAGTTTTCAGAAGTTTCCAGTAGTTTCCAACTGCTTGGCTATAATGCTGAGGTTTCATCTTTGGGTAGAGACTCAATAATATCCATCTGCAGTGTGACTTCAATCGACCGGCATGTTTGTATGTGTGTGTGTGTGTGTGTGTGTGTGTCTGGGTTTCTATGTCAGAGGGCGGGGCCGCAGGTTTGAAATCTCCCGGGTTTGCGCGTGCACGTGAATAACTTGGTTTCGTTCGTACGTCATGGCGAAACACCTAATGACTCGGTATCAAGGCGACTCGTTTGAAGCACTATGAGTCGACTCTTTTATAGATGAATCAACAGTTTTATACACTGCACACTAACAGATTTAAGCCTTAGCTGGATACTTCACTTCACTTAGAGCTGTGTTACAAACTACATGGAAGGGTATTCTCAAAAACCCCTAATAATGGCTCTTTAATGATGTGACGCAGTTTAGAAAATGTCCTATTTCTCTGTTAATCTGACTTTACGGTGAGTTTCTTTTGACCACCCCGTCTTTTTAAAGAATATCACTACGGTGAATGCATCAAGTATAAAAGCCTTGTTCATTTTTTGAGGTGCACGTGCAATCGGTGGAGGTCCATGATGCGGCGTCAGGTTAAAGTATAAATCAGCCTTAATAAATTAAAGCCTTTGACAACCCTGTTCCTGGCAATCTACCTTCTTGTAGACTTTAGCTCCAGCCCTGATCAAACACAACTAAACCAACTTAGCAGGATCTGAAAGAGCACTTAATTACATACAGATGTGTTTAATGAATGTTGCAGCTGAACTCAGAAAAGTAGATCTCAGGAACAGGGTTGAAAACATCTTCTTCAGTGAATTTATCATCTGAATCATGCAACAAAATGTACCCAAAGCAGGTTTTGCAAACATGTAGGTTGAAGCATGTACACATTTAATGATAGTAGATTGCTTTATTTATGTAGTTAGTTAGTTAGTTATTTACCAACCTACCTATACCTAATCACTGACTTTGTATGTGTTTAATTATTTAACCCCAACAGAAGACCGCCATCGTGTCAAAATGCATTCCCTCTTGGCTGATCCTAACTCAGACTATGTCAATGCAAACTACATTGATGTAAGTTTTTTGATTCCTTTGTTTACATGTCTTTGTCTGTACATCTTTTTTTCAAAAAGTAGTTTTTTCGCTCACTTCTGCTTACAGTAAATTTAGATGAACATTTATATGGTTTATATAGACATTTATTTTCTCACTGAGCACATTGTCCATTGACGAATTTGCTGCCTATAGTTTGATACTTTCTTCTTGAACATTTTCTTCACATTTTTTTCTTCTTCGATACAATCCCATATGCCTGCATTGTTCTGCCTTGCTAACAACCTGTCAAACATCTGACTTTAGTGCTGACACGTCTTGTCTTTTCCCATAAAGATTTGTTATTACTAATCTTAGACATAAGACACTTTGTCAGTCAGATTCAGAACACGTTGCTTTTAATCCTAACCATTTGATAGATACCATACTTTCCTGTACCTAAAGCATACATTTTATAACAATATCTCTGATGGAATCGGTCACACTTTACAATAAGGTTCATTAGTTAATGTTAATTAATGCATTTACTAACATGAACAAACAATGAACAATACATTTACTACAGTATTTGTTCATGTTAGTTAATGTTAGTTAATGAAAATATAGTAGTTCATTGTTAGTTCATGTTAACTCATGGTGCATTAACTAATGGTAACAAGCATGGACTTGGTTGTTAATAATGCATTAGTAAATGTTGAATTATGATTAATAAATGCTGTACATGTGATGTTCATGATTAGTTCATGTTAGTAAATGCATTAACTAATGAACCTTATTGTAAAGTGTTACCATGGAATCTTAGTAACTTCACTTTTTGTGTGTCATCTTTTGGTGGAAAGTTTAAGTGAATTTGAGCACTGAAAGTTATGTAGTTTGAAGGAGCTTACACATCTCAGGACTAGAATTTAGGTGGTTGCCTTGGTTCTGAACAGCATTTATTTCTATTCAGGGCTGAAGCCATTTAAGAGCCGTTGTTATGATCTACGCTTGCAAAGTGAACAAATGTGAATTACTCTTTTTGTATTTGTATTTGAATCACAGGTTTTGTATGATGAAAAAGTGGCTTATAGAGATTTGTTTACTACAATTATAAGCCTTTTTACTCCACCTTTCTAAGAACCAGATGTCCTGATTTTCTCTTCTCCTCAATAGCAATTCACATTCTAGAATCAAAAAGTCAATCTATGTGTGATTAATAAACATAGTGCACTGAGTTTTTAATCACTTTTAAAGTTTGATTGGTGTTAAATTGATTCAAATAACCTCTCTTTGGAATCAACTATAATATTTTTATTTAATATATTGTCATATTTGTATTTATTCTTAACATAATACACTTAATGGAAGATGTGAGCTGCAAACAATAGTATATTCATCATACAACCACTACAAAAAATATACCAATATTTGAAAAATGATACTATATATGGCACAGTCAATCAATTATTTCATCAATTTGACCAATTAAATTTTGATTGTGATTGTGTTTAACAAATATGTACAACTCCAAAACAAAACGACAATCAAAGCACAAAGCCATGCCAAAGGGTCAAGCAGTTATTGGGTAAAACTAGTAATGGAATTGGGTTACAATGGTAACAAAAGTGTAAGTTTTAAGCTCTTCACTGCTAAAAAATCGATTTTCTGCAGCAAAATCACTACACTTTTAGGGCCATACCATACACCTGGTGCAATAAGGCACAAAACGTGTTTGCCCTGACGTGTTGCTATATTCAGACCGGTGCAACCTTAAATTTTTTCATTTTCTGCCACGTTGTTTAAATAACAAATCCATTTATGCCACTTTGTGGACTCATGGGTGTTCCGGTCTAGAAAAGAGGTGTATTATGGCACATTGTTGGCGTCTTGCTATTTTGAGGAAATGAAACCAGGTCTACAGTTCAGTGCAGAGTGTGTTAGTTGTGTGCCTCACTTACACATTGCTTAAAACAAGCAGGATGGATGAGCTGGATGAAAATATCTTTACAAATGAAAAAGAATTAAAGAAATAAAATATTACAAAAATGATTACTTTCTACATAAATATAAAAACTAATGCCTCCATGCTTTCTTAATCTCAGGGGGCTTTTTTAGTTTATTCACTACAATTTGCTTTTGTATAATGTTAATATTAGTATTATTTATTATATGCATATTTATGTTTAGCTTAGATTTGCCCACCTGTCAGGTTTTGGACTATATGGGGCATAGCACGTGTGTTTGGATATAACTATAATATAATTTTTTTTTTTTTTTTATCACACTTCATTATTATTGTTCATTTATTTGTTTGCTGGGAATTAGAACTGAATTTAGAAATAGTTTTGAAAAAAAATCTTTGCACGAAAATAAATATAGTGGGTGTCTTCACTGGTGTACAGCACTGTGGAGTACAACAGTGTTTCCTTATCCACGAAAGAGAGAAAGAAAAAAAAGTTAAACTATCCTTGTGCTGCAAATGGTTTATTTAAGTGTTTTCTTGCTAGTGAAGTTTTTAGTTTTTCCATTTGCAAAGATCGCCATGTAAATAGCAAATATGCCATGGTGCGACGCAACTGACTATTAAAGGGAATGAAAGATGAGACTCTAGTTGGTTTATTCTCAAAACATACCTATAACTCATAAAGAAAATAAGCACAACCCTGTTAGACCATGCGCCGTGACACAGAGTGTAATTTTCTGGCCTTAAAAGAGCAAAAGTGGATTCCGATACGACCTTAATGCTTTTGTGTGCTGCACTTTAGATTTTGAGCCTAGATCAGTAAAATGGAGCCTTAAATATGTTTATTGTCATTATGCAGATATGTATTTTTTATTTTGTGAGAAATTTTTATTGTTCAGTGTAGGGTTGTAACAATATACCGGTATGACGGTCTACCACGATTTGAACGTGCACGATTATCATACCATGAACAATTGCATATCAACGGTTTTAACCCTTAAAGACCGAGACAGCCGCCCGCAGCTAAAAATAAGTATTGCTCTTAAATGTTTAATAACTTTTGATCCGCTGATCCGATTCATACAATTCAAAGATTGGCATAAAGAAGAGAATCTCAGCTTTCCAGTGCTGTATCACATAACATTCGCGGACTTTCAGAGGCTCCGGAATCAGTGCGGTTACGTCATCAACATTTGACAACGCTGATTTGACAAAGAAACGCTCGTCACTGTGTCTCCGGACAAACCAGACATGATACATTGATGCATTGTCCCTCCTCCATGCCCAGATTGGTTCAAACTCGCTATATCACAACCAATAAGCATAGGTTTCGCTTTTGTTTGTGGACCAACAATGAGCTTTTTGAACAACACGGAATGAGAGATAGGCATACATTTATGCGCGGCTAAATAAAACGCAAAAAAAAAAAGTTTTGCATGAAATAATTCTCATACTAAGTACTTTTGCATGCACAGCAGCACAGAAACATGACAAAACAGTGACCCAGCAAAGACGAACTGCTGCTCTTGCTGTTTTCAAAAGACGCAAATGAAGGTGCAGCTGTTTGTCTGCATTGCAGACAACCATATCCAAATCCATATCGATAGACAACCATATCCATGCTGGCACATAAAACCTAAGGATGTTCCATATTGAATCTAGTTTCGTTATGTAACTATTTATAGTATAGTAAATATTTATATCTATTTTTTACTGAGGATTTGCACCATGTTTATTTGGATTTTATTTGGACTTTGACACATTATTTATTATTTTCTTATTTTTTTATTTGTTCATTGTAAGTGGTGTTGTTTATAGTAACTAAAAAATATATTATTTGGAAAAAGTCAAATTTGCTTCACTGTTCTATTATTTTGTAACATTTGTAACATACCGTATACCGCGAAACCGTCAAACCGTGGTATTGTTTTAGACGATTATCATACCGTAAAAAATTCATACCGTTACAACCCTAGTTCAGTGTGTGTTAAGTCAACCAGCTTGTTGTTTAGGGGTCGGTACATACAAAGCCGACTGCAAAGAACAAGCTGACAACGAGTGCACGTTCTGTGGATGATTGAGAGGTTTTTAAGATGTTTCTGTTTTCTCATTAAGAATGACAAAACCAGAACTTCTGACCATAAAAGTACATAAAACAAAACAACTTTCAGTACCATTATAACAGTGATTGTCACTCACCACAGAGGGATTTGCCTCTGCAAATATGCCTGATAGTCTAATAATCCAAACATTTTTGCAAATATTCAAGAAATGTAGTGAAATTACAGACAGCGTTTTTGTGTTCCTTCTTGCTAAAATAGTAAAATAGTCTCTTTACTTCACTGTGTTAGTTCACAACACAATCTGATTTGTTGTTGAATAACCAGTCAGACCAATGATAAATGAAGATCAATGAAAACCAATGTCAACTGACCAGTGGGCCAGTTGTCGGCTTAATGTGTCCAGGCCCTTAGCAAAAAAAAAGACTAACTGTTAGGTTACTTTCAATTAAATAAATAATAACAGACACATACACACATAACTTAAAATTTTTTTTTTCTGTTCACATCTTGTGACATCATGTCCTGTTTTTGGTTAGATTAGAGGTATTTGGTTCATGTTATGTTCATATTTCAAATATGTGAAATGTATATTTGTTCAATGTGAAATTTATATTTGTTCAATGGCAACAGACCCCCATTTTAAGTGGTTTCAGGATGTGTTTAAATAAAATGCATTAACACAGCAATTGCATAAAATCATCATATATTTCGAGAAAACAACTGTAAATGTTCAGTTTTTAGTAAATGTAACTCTTAAAAGCATTTAATTCCTTTAAAGTTTGCTTTATGTGTGTAACCCAGCAAGTGTATGTTATTTATCTGTCTGCCCGTATTAATTCCCATCCACAAAATTCACAATTGTGGGATACAATACAGTATATTGTTTGTTCAAAAGTGCATCATATACTGTATAGTGCATGGTACATGACAAAACTGATGTGTTTTTCACGTCTTAATGTGGCACTACACGAAACGTGAAAAATGTCCAGCCCTTCTGAAACTTAAAAGCATAGGATTTGTTCACAAAATATATTATTGACTGATTAGAAATTGTAAAATATCTACAGTATAAAATTACACTCTTTTTTTCTATGAAATATGACAATTATACAGTAAAACTGGAAAAAAAAATGTACTAAATGTGCTGCTAAAACATTAATTTGAAGATGAAACAGCTGAGCAAGACCTCTCTGATTTCTCAGACAATGCATGGTGACTCATCTTGACCATAATTTGCAGTTAGTTTGAAGTGATTTTTTCACTACAGGTGGCCAGTTTGAAAAAAAAAAATTAACTTATGAAGCCTTTATTTTGTTTCTCTAATCATCTTAATTAGCCTGTTTCTCTCTTTGTTCTCTTTCTCTCTTCTTCCACCCATCTCTCTTTCTCTGTGTCTTGGATCTCTTAGATTCGGATAAACAGGGAAGTAAGTACTTGTCTTTCTCTTCCTTTCCTTTCAACTGTCCATCTCTTATTCATTCCTGCTATCGTGGCTCTGGGCTCTGTCTTTTTCTCTTGCTCAAACCCTTGCCGTTTGCAGCTTTGTTCTCATTGCATCATCTTCTGGAACCCAAGCTTAAGCTATAAAGACCCTGTGAAATATTTAGTAAATGCTTTTTGTGTGTGTGTGTGTGTTTGTGTGTGTGTGTGTGTGTGTGTGTGTGTGTGTGTGTGTGTGTGTGTGTGTGTGTGTGTGTGTGTGTGTGTGTGTGTGTGTGTGTGTGTGTGTGTGTGTGTGTGTGTGTGTGTGTGTGTTGAAACAGTATGTTTTCATCTCAGTGGCTATTTGTTTACATATTCCAGATGATTTTAAAAAAATAACCGACATTATTGAAAAAGAAAACGCTTTTGTTTTCACAAGATCTTTAAAATCTTTCAGAATTTGCAAAGCTAGATTAAACCCTAATGTCTTACAGCTGGTCATTATAGTCAACATTTGTGTGTTTTGGATGACATTTTAAATAATGTATATTAATATCTAATAAAAAGTATTTTGATGTTATTTGAAGGAAAAAAAAAACATTTAGATCAGGGTTTTTTTCCCTTAGTTTTAATTTTTTTCTTAGTTTCACTTTAAATAAAAAACACTGATTCAACTTTAAGTTGTAAGAAACCTTGGTGTACAGATTTTTCAAGTTGTTTTTTTTTTTTTTTTACCATTTTCGGTTAAGTCAATGTTTTTTTTTTTTTCAAACTTTTCAGTTTTAATGTAAAATTTTTATTTAAAACAAATATAATTTAACTTATTTGTTACATGGTCTTTATTTATGTGATCTCTTTATCTGCAAATAAAAATGAATAAATAAAACTAGATATAAAATAACATTAGATATAAATTAGATCTAATATTATAAAATTTATATCCTTAAGCTGAACATTGAATTCAGTTTCTAAATGATATTTACATGTATGCACCTTTACCCTTTCTTTCAAAATCTCCTTGCCCTTGTTTTTTTCTACAACATTTTGCTGCCTTCCATTTTCAGTGCCTCCATGGGTTGAAAGATAAATGTGTTAAATTGTGTGCATTGTTCCAGATTATTGCTTCAATCTGACCCTTCTACGTTGCAGAGCATTTTGGTCATCCAATGCTCAATATGTGCATTTCAAAAGAACCTTTGTTCACATTATATCTTTACATAATGGAGTCCTGCTATATTAAGATTACCATCACATCATCATTATATACTTTGAAAGCATTCTAAAGGCCATTGACATTACCGTTTTTCAGAGACACCAGCAGTCTTCACAGATCTTGTTTTACTCAATGTACATTATTTTTGTTTTCAGCAATCAATCAGTAAAATCAATTGTTATCAATATTACACATTTCACAAATGAAAGGCCCTTAATTAATACTAGTCTGTTGTATGAATCTAACTTCAGTTGGAAAAAACTGCTTCAAATTATGCATCGCTTGAAAACAAACTGTATGTACACCGTTTAGGGGGGAAAAATAACACTAAATCTTAATAAAACAGGATTCTTTTACTTGTAATCATAGGGATCTATGGTAATCACCTACAGCATATAACACCTATATCTTTAAGGAGTGATATATTACATTAATCAGCTCAAACAACCACTGGATCACCATTATTGAACTTAACAGGTTGTTTATGAATGCTATATTCTCAGAACAAAAAAAAAAAATTAAAAAAGATTCACAAGCTTTCATTAGAGCGATACCCTTTAAAAAGTTACAGATTTACTCAGGTACACATACAGTTTAAGTCAGAATTATAAGCCCCCTTTCGTTTTTTGTTTTTTTTTTTCCTTTTTTTTTATACTTCCTAAATTATGTTTAACAGAGCAAGGAAATTTTTTACAGTATGTCTGATTTTTTTTTTCTTCTGAAGAAAGTCTTATTTGTTTCATTTTTGGTAGAATAAAAGCAGTTAAAAATAATTAAGTTCAAAATTATTAGCCTGTTTAAGCTATATTTTTTCGATAGTCTACAAAAAAAAAAAAAAAACATTTTTATACAATATTCCCCTAATTACCCTAACCTGCTTAGTGAACCTAATTTACCTAGTTAAGCCTTTAAACGTCTCTTAAAGCTGTATAAAAGTGTCTTGAAAAAGATATAATAAAATATTATTTATTGTCATCATGGTAAAGATAAAATAAATCAGTTATTACAAATGAGTTATTAAAACTATTATGTTTAGAAATGTGTTGAAAAAAAGCTTCTCTCTGTTAAACAGAAATTGGAAAAAAAATGAACAGGGGGCTAAAAATTCAGGGGGGCTAATCATTCTGACATATAAGTACATGTAAATTTCACAAATTCATGTTTAGAAAGAAATTCTGTATGTACTGTACCTTTACAGTATCAATGTCAAGCCTTTAGATGCAATGCAAATGTGTACCTCTTAAGAGGCCTGTGACCTTTCTGTATTTTTTTTTTTTTGATGTTGTTTGTTTGTTTTTTCTGACAGTAGTGCATAAATGAATCCGTCAATGCATACATCCATCAATAATGCTGACAATGTATAAGCAGATCTGTAGACAAAAAATACATAATAAGTCCGTTATGACACAAATTGTCCTGACCCACAGACACATTTCATGTTAATAAAGAAATGCTGTATGTACTGGACCTTTACAGTATTTATGTCAAGCCTTTATATACAAATGTGTATGTCTTAAGAGGCCGGAGACCTTTCTGTTTTTTTTTTTTTTTTGTTGTTGTTTGTTTGTTTTTTGTTTTTTCTGACAGTAGTGCGTAAATGAATCCATCAATCCATGCATCCATACATACATCAATAATGCTGAAAATTTATAAGCAGATCTGCAGACAAAAAATACATGAATAAATTCATTATGGCACAAATTGTCCTGACCCACAGACACATTTATAATTACAGTCACTTTACAAAAAATCTTGGACTACTGGACGATCAACCCAGCAATAGCCTTTGGGACTAAAAGCAGAGCTTTCTAGCCCAACACCACACATTTTAATACATCAGGGCTTAAGTGCATTGTGAACAGTGAACAGGCGAGTGAACAGATTAACTTTTTCAAAAGCAGATAAAGGTTCATTATGGTGACTGTATAAAGCCTTACTGACTGCTCCTCACACAGAAGTAATCTACTGATTTCTGACCACAACAACATAGTGCTAGCCCTTAAATTATTATGTCAAGTATCAGGGTGTTCTATCAGCTTTCAGATCTTCTTGAGACTTGAGACAGTATATTTATATTAAATTAATTATACTATATTAAATATTTAATAATTTTATATATATATATATATATATATATATATATATATATATACAGCATATTAAGATAAAAGTTTTGTTTAAAAAATCAGCTGTTTATATTAGAATGGCAGAATCAACACTGCAGTTATAATGACCAGATTATTTTTGGAGTCACTGATCACTTTGAATCTCCTGCTGATGAACAATGACAATATAAAACACAACACAACAGTTAACAGGCAGGGATCTACGTGAGTTCAGAAACCCTTTTCTATAGTGACACAAGTGACTGTTGAATGAACTGCAGCCAACAACTTACTGCTTTTGTTTGCACTCATGTATTTGCAGCGTACAAGAATCTGAATATGATATAAATATAAACACAGTTGAAGTCATTTATTAGTGTCCCCCTGTATATGTTTTTCCCAATATCAGTTTAACATAGAGAAGATTTTGTCAAAACAAATCTAAATTTCATAGTTTTAATATCTATTTTCTTACAACTCATTTCTTTCATCTTTGCCATGATGACAGTACATAATATTTTACTATTTATTTTTCAATATATTCAGCTTAAAAGTGTTTTACAGGCTTAACTAAGTTAATTAGGCAATTAATTAGGGCAATTAGGCAAGCCATTATATAACAGCAGTTTGTTCTGTAGACAATCGATAAAAATATTGTGGAGCTAATAAAATAAAATAAATGAAAATGTGTGAAGAAAAAAATATTTTAGAAAATATTGTGAAATGACATTGGGAATATATATATTGGTATATATAATATCCCATGAATAAATTCAAATTAACCGTAGTGTATGTGTGTGAGTGAATAGATGTTTTCCGGTGATGGTTTTACCATATGCTGGATAAGTTGGCGATGCATTCCGCTATTGCAACCCCTGAATAATAAAGGGACTAAGCCAAAAAAAAAAATTCATAATAATGAATGAATTGTTGCAAATGTGTTGCATTCACAGTAGTTTTGTGTTACAGAGCAGAATTAAAATTTTTAAGCCCTGAACACATTCAAGCTCACATCATTAGATCATGCACACACAGCATATGAAAATGTGTGACAATGCCGGTCAGAGTATTTGATTTCAATCACATAAAACTTTGTTAAATAAAACAAGCACAGTGATTTTTATTGTGTAGATCTAGTAGAATCACACTTGTGGAAAATCCTTAGAAATACTATAGAAATTTTTCTTACATAAACAAAAGAGAAAATCGCTTAAATATCCTTTAATGGCATTTATTTAACTAAAAGAGAAAACAAAAGAGAAAAGGAAATCTAAAACATACAGCCCCTTTAAAAGTATCTGACCATTGAGTTTATAAAAACTCAATTTTACTTAACCACATTGCATTTAAACAAAGCAAATGAGTTTCTCTCTGTCTGTCAAAACCGCCGTTTAAAATACTACTCAAAGTACTTTTAGCATATCTAAAAATGCTGAAGTGTAGTGAGTAGTGAGTATGCTGTTAAAATGATTTCCACTTATACCCTTTAAATAAAAAAGTAACTTGCATCAGTGCCATTATCTTTTTTATAACACATTGCAACAATATATGTATATATAATAAGCGACTTAAAGCAAGTTGATGCATTTACATACAGACATCTGTGTAACATAGTTGTCAAAAACAATCTAGCTGTGACAATATGTTAATACTTACATTATGCACTTTGAACCCTGACTAAAAAGTTATGAGTATCCAGCAGAAGGCATTGCAAACCACTGATAGAAGACACGCAATATGACATGTATTTGAAAGCGTAACATTCTGTACTGCATTTAGTTATTTTTAAGGCCATTTCAGCAATATATATATATATATATATATATATATACAGTTGAAGTCAGAATTATTAGCCCCCTTTTGATTTTTTTTTCTTTTTTAAATATTTCCCAAATGAGGTTTCACAGAGCAAGGACATTTTAACAGTATGTCTGATAATATTCTTTCTATTTAAAGTCTTATTTGTTTTATTTCGGCTAGAATAAAGCAGTTTTGAATTTTTTAAAAACTATTTTTGGGACAAAATTATTAGCCCCTTTAAGCTAATTTGTTTTTCGATAGTCTACAGAACAAACCATCGTTATAGAATAACTTGCCTAATTACCCTAACCGGCCTAGTTCACCTTATTAGCCTAGTTAAGCCTTTAAATGTCACTTTAAGCTGTATGGAAGGGTCTTGAAAAATATCAAGTAAAATATTATTTACTGTCATCATGGCAAAGATAAAATAAATCAGTTATTAGAAATAGGTTTTTAAAACTATTATGCTTAGAAATGTGCTGAAACAATCTTCCCTCCATTAAACAGAAATTGGGGAACAAAATAAACATAAACAGGGGCGCTAATAAGTCAGGGGGGCTAATAATTCTGACTTCAACTGTATATATATATATATATATATACATATATATATATATATATATATATATATATATATATATATATACACTGATCTAAACAGTACCACTATTGCTGCAAACATTCTAAAGTTATGTTTTTAAAATGCAAGTATTGAATTGCAACCTAAAATAAACAATTGAATGAAACATTTAATTGCTTTTTCGTTTCTTTAAGAGGTCATTGCTAACCCATTCTAATATATTATATGTATGATGCATGATGTTGCCCAATATTATCAGGGTGACATTGTGGTTTTCCTCCCAACTGTCAGTAACCATTTTAATACCAGAACAGTCTATTTTATGCTATTCACATCTATTACTATATATGATTGTTTGGCCAGTCTGTTAAGTCTGGAGGACCTTGCTTTACATTACAGATTACACAAAAGCTGGTCATCTGATGTCTCATGCTGACAAACGTGGCATTTCGTGTTTTGCTTTTAATGTGTGACATTTAGAATGCAGCATTCAGGTATGTTCAAACAGTGATAACATTTGCTCGGATTTCCTACACACGAGTAAATTCAATTCCTATTGCTCAGAAAATCAATATCAGATGACACACACACACACACACACTACAGATATAATATAGTTCTATATTAATATATGCTTGTTATCAAATGTCAAGTAGAAACACTTTCATTTGTGAGATTCATAGATGCATGTTTTGCTGTCACATTATTTGCCTCACCCAAAACATCCTATTTGATAAAAGTTTCTTGTATATAATGTATGTTTCTCTCACAGATTTTGGTTTTGAGATATTGTCATCCATCTGTGCACTTTGCCATATTTTACCTCACTTTTGTGCTGTTGAAGAAACAAAATGTTTAACATTGTACCTGCAGAGTAACTTGCTTGAATTGGTGTGGACAGTATATTTAGCAGGGAGGCTTGATAGATTTTATTCCAGCTTAGTTTACTTTGCAGTATATTCCACAACAATGTTGCTTATTTGGAGATAACATTGTTAGATAATATTATACATATAGAACATCTGCCTATGTAGCAGGTGTGTTTATTTTATTTCATTACAATTATGCAAGAGACAAAGTCAAAAAATGATGTTGATTATTTGAAAAGTAATTAACATAACATTGATTGATAATAACGCATGTCTTTCCTTTGCTCTTTCAGGGGTATCAGCGCTCCAACCATTTTATCGCAACACAAGGTAAGCTTTTATGCTTCCTTTAAATCACTTGTGTATTTGTATTGAGCAGTGGATGTTAAAAAAGTACCTTGACATGTACATGTCCGTGTTTGCATGTCCCAGATTTACTACAGAGCTTTGAACGAGGCAAATGCAGATATTGTTTTTGCTGTTTGACTATTTGTTTAATTTGACACTTGGTATCCAAACACAACTACACTTCTTACTTATTAAATGTTCTTTATTCTGGTCTCTTCCCTTATATTACTGATTATGGGTTACTGATTAGATTTTTCCTTTTTTTAATGCAGTTTTAATTTCATTAGTGAAAATAAGTACAACAAATGTTTTTTTTATTTTCTGTTTTTTTTTTTTTGTCTAAAGCTTGGCTAGGCAGAAACTTGACACATCTTCTGTGCTACATTTGCTGAAGTCGCACACTATGATCTGCTCATCTAATGAATGAACAGCATATTGTTGATGAAATAAGATGAGACTAAAATGTATTCAAAAAGATGAAAACTAACCAGCATTTATTTTTAATATAATCTGCAACATTGCAAAATTAATTGATTAGATGAGTTGATCAAAGCACATGGATTCACTCATGTTACTGCTGCACCAGACCTGTCAAGTGGCTGTTTGTGTCCAGCCATACTTAGTGACAAAATTGAGACTGAAATAAAGTTGATAACAGTCTAGAATAGTGTCTCAATTTTCAAATAACATACATTTGTTGTTACAATCTTCTTATTCAAGGAATTAATGACAGTACTGCAAGAATAAGCTTCTCGTTTATGCAAATATGGTCATTTGTTTGAAGAAATAATATAATATAAATAATATATAATATTATATCTGTTTGACTGCCCGCTTTACCAAATGTTTGACCATGTTTAAAGTAAGAGTAGTTTACACACACAGCATTGCTGGTTTACAAAAAATATCTAACAAGCCTAATTGTGTTGCACTACTACTTGATTTTGGTTTTATGGTTAAAAAATAAATAAATAATAATAATAATAATAAATTAAATTAAATAATAAAAAACAAGAAAGCAACTTAAATGAGATTCTGAAATATTTTATAGGATACTTCAAAAAGTATATATATAATTGGCCTTACACTTCATATTTTTCGATTTTTCATAGTATATGTATTTATTTCAATACTTTTATCATGAAGCTTTTTTTGTGGTGGGGTAGTTAAAGGGTTGTAATATAATATAATATAATATAATATAATATAATATAATATAATATAATATAATATAATATAATATAATATAATATAATATAATATAATATAATATAATATAATATAATAATACATTATAGGAAAATCTAATCTCATTTAATTAATTAATTTTTTTTTTTTTATCGAAGCATACATAAAACATGGCTTAATTTAGATATAAATTGATAAAAAAAAACATTACAATGTAGGAGAGTAAAATGTTTAAATGACTAAGTAATTTTTTTTTCAACCAACAAAACAGTTTTCAACAAAGATAATAATAAACTGAATGATTTCTGAAGGGTTGTGTAATGTGTGAAGTCTTTTGTGTGGCATTCATTACACAAATAAATGAAATGAAATGTCAGTGTTTGTTTTGACAAATAAATAGAACTTAATATGAAAAAGAAAATAAGATTTAAAAAATCCCCTTCCAGTTACTTTTTAAAAGTTGGGTACAACTAGTAAAGTCTTGTCCATTATATGTGTTAGAAGTCAGAGTCAGTCTAACTCTTTTTCTTCTCAGGAACTGTCTGTAGTTTTGTCTCTGTGGGTCTCTATGCTTTTTCTCAGGCCAGCACAAAGCAGCACACAACACACGCTCACACAACACATCTCATTTAATCCCCACTCTCTCATGTTGGTCGTCAACACACCGAGGCCACTGATCAACACAGACTCCATCCAAACATAAACAGACTCTGGCACTGCTGTGCTCTGTTTGAGCAGGTGTACACGCGCTCATGTGGGGGGTTTGCTAGGCTTCCTCTCTATCCTGAGTTTTAAACTGGTTTAGGTCCTGGGATATTTGTAGATGGGGGAGCTTTTGAAGCCATCTGCGTGTCCACATCGTAACAGCGCTGCATACAGATGTGCTCTTGACTCAATGAGCTTTTATACAAATGTGTTCGGTCAGTCCTGCAGCTGACAAGACAAACCTTTGTAGTCAGACTGTACGATACAGGGAAAATTTATTTAGATTCATTATAACTATAAATGCCCGAACATTGATAGTTTTAAATTCAGTACCCAACAAACCTTCGTAAAAAGGGCTGTACGATATTTGGAAAATTCTGCCATTGTAATATTTAATTTTTTTACAAGATCAATTGAAAGAATCGTTTATTTAGATCCATTAAAACTATGAATGTACATACATTCATAGTTTTGAATTCAGCACCTAACAAACCTTCATAACAGGACTGTATGATATTGGGAAACTGACATTGCAATATTTAGTTTTTCACCAGATCAATTGAATTGCTGTATTTGGAAAGAATTTATTCAGATTGACTGGGGTGTTTTCTAGAGGAGTGAATCATGCATAACTTATAATAAACAATAGCAGAAATAGATGAATAGAATAAAACAGACAAGTGAAAAAAAATGTGCTTTATGGTTTTCTGGAGAGTCTTAACTTTATTCAGGAACAGAAATAAAATAATCAAATGTCAAATTTGTTGTAGAAAGATTCAATTTAATCATTGTTAAAGTTACAAATGGTTGAATATCAGTTTTAAATTGCTCATATAATCAAACACCTTAAATGATGAATTATAGTTAAATGTTTTATTGACCTCACAAATGTCATGCCTAGTCAACTATAATCTCAGCAGCATTGCACATCCTGCAATGTGACTATTCAGGAGGCACACAACTCAGCATGCTATACAATCAATTAGGCAATCAATCAATTAAGCAATCCAGCAATCAATGCAGCAATCAGACAGTCCAGCAAATGTTATGGCTTTTGTTCAATTAGACTTTCAACAACCACTAAAATGGAAAGCAAAATAACATGTGGTGTTTATTATTTAATGTTCTGTGTACAATATTCAATACCCTCCACACATACAGTTGAAGTCAGAATTATTAGCCCTCCTGTATTATTTGCCCCCTGTTTATTTTTTACCTAAATGAAGAGATTTTTTTCAACACATTTCTAAGCATAATAGTTTTAATACCTCATTTCTAATAACTTAAATACATTGACCTTAATAACCAGGGGCGGACTGGCCATCTGGCAGACCAGGCACTTTCCCGGTGGGCCGACGTACTTTTTGGGCCGGGATGATCATCGTCTTATGATCTGATCGGCCCATAATAGGCTTAGCAGCCTATCGTTTTTTTTTTCTGCCTTATTAATTGACGCTGCTGTGATCTGTGACTCTCTGAAAGTAGATGTTTTTTTTCCCGGACAGACAGACCGGGCCAGCCCATGTGACACTCTGCAGCCCATTGGATCTTTTCTGTATTGACATTGGACTGGCCCAATCACAAACTCCTATTTTGGACTCCATGGGAGCGTGCGTCGTCTGTGTGTATTTGTCAAAATAGTCGAGAGTCAGAGAGAAGAAACGCAAGGGAGGCGCAGAGAAATCGCGGGAAATACACCGGCGTTTCATTTAGCGGTTCTGAAAAGTCCTCTCTTCATTCTAGTTCACGGCTAAAAGCGCAAATCACGTGACCACACACATGCACACTTTCCAGTAGTTCAGCAGGTGAGCATAAAGCCCAGGTGAGAGTATAGTGCATGTCAGACAGTTCATCTGCTGGATGATCTCATCTCACTATAGTTGTTAAACGGGATATTGAATTCATCTTGTTGTCTCTATCTAACAATTCTTATGTCTTTTGAATCACTTGTTCTCAGTTAACTGTTTTGGCTGAGTGCAAAGATAAGCTAATATATTAATTTATGTAACCACATACACTGATTCTGCACATTGACTTATTGCTTACCTTTTTTGTTTAAATTTAATGTACGTTATACTGTTTATAATGGCCATTATTGGTTATTAAAACTGATATTCTGCAAAAGAGACGGGGTAAAGTTCATTCTTTTCAATGAAAATGAAAAGAGACAGTTATATTTAAGCCCTGTTTTGTTATAAATATGCAGAGTGAAGATGATGCTCATATAAATATGCAGCTACACGAGGCTGTTTGGTGTCTGTTAATCATAATATCAAAATGAAACAAATTTGACTTATATTATGTTTCATTGTTTAGATAGTGAAACAGCAAGCAGGATGAGGTGAAAAGAGGTTAAAATGTAACACTGTTGCCTTTGAAGATTTACCCATGCATTAGCAGGCAGTTTTTGTGATGTTTATTATTGAATATAGGCTGAGTGAATAGTGTATTGAATAAGCTAAATTGGCCGTAGTGTATGAGTGTGTGTGAATGAGTGTGTATGGGTGATTTCCAATATTGGGTTGTGGCTGGAAAGGCATCTGCTGCATAAAACATGCTGGAATAGTTGGCAGTTCATTCCACTGCGGCAACCCCTGATAAATAAGGAACTTATGTGAAGAAAAATTAATGAATGAATAGTGTATTTTTAGAACTCAACAAATATCTTTATGGACTATACAAAAATGAAATTGAGATTAAAGTTTGTATTTATTTATTTATTTATTTCATATATATGGCTTTTATGTTTATAGAATATGAGTTGATAAAAATATTGGACGTGCATAGATAGATAGCATTTTGATTGAATTTAGTGGGCCGCTCTGGCCCAAAATGCCAGGGCCGATTTTTTGCCCCAGTCCAGCCCTGTTAATAACTAATAAATAATTTTATCTTTGCCATGATGACAGTAAATTATATTTTACTAGATATTTTTCAAGACACTTCTATACAGCTTAAAATGACATTAAAAGGCATAATTAGGTTAATTAGGTTAATTAGGTTAACTAGGCAGGTTAGGGTAATACAGCAAGTTATTGTATAACGATGGTTTGTTCTGTAGACTCTCAAAAATATATAGCTTGAAAGAG